ATAACATTCGATATTATATAGGTTTAGTGGCTTGTCTTGAAGAACCAATATGCGGCCTTTCCAGTTACATTTTTCTTTGTTACAACCATTCTTTAAGAAATGTGGTTAGTATTTTATAAATTCTCTAAAGGTGACGAATATACAATATGGGCTGCCATCAATAGAAATAAAGCAAAATTAACATTTTTTTAAAAAAAAATTAATACTTTAAATTTTATGGATAAATTTTAAAACTATTTTGATTATTAATCACTTTAAAATTCATCAAGAAATTAATTCTTTTAAAATGTTAATCTGTATGGCAACCTATATTCTTTATCATATATATCTGAGCAGAACACCCCAGGTATTCTACATATGCAAATGTTGATTTGTGTTATTGCTTCGCATGTTCATCTACAAGTGTGATTATTTTCATATCCCCTTCACGTACCTTTATTGAAAATAATAAGAATCAACTTTCAAATATAACTCGTACTTCTCAAAAGTGCCTTACTCGACATTTATTTGTGCAGTTCTCAGGTAAAATTTCATAATCTTCACCGAGCCTACTACCTCCAGGCGATATTGTGTCTAAGGTATACAGGTCTAGCACTGAGGAAACTTCTGTAAGCGGTACTTGTATGCATTGGAGATTTGGTAATAATGGATGCCAAACCATGCTTGGTTTATTTGATTTTATGTCACAGCTAATAGCTGAAAGAGATAAGTTATCCAGCTTAGCGCTATAATTTTATATGATTTATATGATTTTTATTTTGTTACTTTGACTTTGTTTACAGTATAGATAAAAAAAGAACCCTTTTAAATGGAATTATTATCTAAAATTTTCTAAAAAAGGTGTAGCGGCATATTGCTTATTCGTCAAAAATAATTTTGTTTTATAACTTTAATTTATACAATGATGTCATTACTGTTACCACATGTCTTATTATTTAAGTTAGAAAAGAAGTTCTCTTCCAAACTATTCCAAAAAAGGCGTGGCGACATACCGTATTCTAGATAAAATAAACTTTAAATAATTTACCATCTGCATGGTAAAATGAATCATAATGTTTACTATACGTCTGGTAAAAATGTATTTTAAGCAGATGGTATTTTCTTCCAAAAAAAGGTGTACTGGCATATTTTATCCTGAAAATATCCCGTTTTCACGAGATTCTATATTTTCAGACTAAATGTCGAACTCTTGGAATTGGATACCAAAAAAAATTTTTTTAAAAAGAATTACACAGAAGACTTGTTTCACTATTTATGACAAGAATATTTTAAACCTTTTGCACATGACTATATATAATGTTTTTTTTTGTTATTTTTTATTTTATGTTCAAAAAAGCGTGAATTACCCCTTTTTGCATGAGTATAGTATTACGGTTTTTGAACTGTGACCATGTATGGGTTCAGGATTGCAATTGTTGGGCTTAAAGAGATATAAAGATTCCCTTATTTATATATTTCATGATTTGTTTGTTACCTTTTAGGTTAACTGTCAAAAGATAAGAGAGGTAGACAAATACATACGTAAACGATAGTTTAGTAATAGATTAAACAGATTAAACGGGACTATAATCGCCTAGTTAAGAATTTAAGCTTGACCAAGTTGTTATAAATGGAATAAAGGTGTAGAGATAGAATAAGCTGTATATAAATGTTGTCAATGAAAATGAGGCTTCGGGTTTTTAAGTTTATTATTTATCAGATTCAGCTTATGAAAAATCTGTTATTAGCAGGGCTGAATTCGTGAAAGCCCGAAGTTTCATTTACCTTTGCAGCACTTATATGATAGCAAATAGTTTATTATAAAAGCACTGCCTTTTCGCACTTCTAGTAAATTTTTCAAGATTTCGATATTTTTAGTTAATTCTCAAGTGTTGTTATAGTTTATATACATTATTGATTATCATCATATTATTCATAAATTGTTTATTCTCATTACTTTTACTATAATTACGTCTAATTAGAGATATATAAATATTTATATATTAACTATTGGTACTAAATCGTACCAATATTTATAAAAAGCACCCAACATAGTAACAATAGTAGCATTCAGCATATCCTGAAAAGCAGTCAAGTTAATTATTTTATAGAATGTAAATTGAAAAGTAGGGGAATAAAACTTAAGCACCAGCACTTATCTGTTTACAAGATCACAAACCAGATCGTTTCTAATAATCTGAATAACTCGGTTGGCCCGGCTAATCCAATCCGGTTGTCATAATGATCTAACATATATTGATAATATATATACGTATGAGTTAGAAAAGGATGTAAATTAGGTTGGCTGGAAATAGCCTCCTGGCTGTCAATTAGTAATTTACAATAAGTAAAAAGGCATAAATAATGCGTATGACACAGAAAAACTATATCTGATATTGCATAAAACAAATTT